TTATATTGTTTTTATATTTCCATTTCCTGTGTTGTAAAGCACTTTGTGATTTTTATCTGTAAAAAGCGCTATATAAATAAATTTTACTTACTTACCTAACGTACTGAAGGGTTTTAGTAGAAAAAAAAGTGTGCTAGTCCATTTCATGCTTTCAATCAGGTGGTGATTTTCCCACAATGATATTGTTATTAACAATCTTGTTAATATTAAAAAGTCAAGTACCTGAATTCTCTGCAGTGACTGAATAAAGCTCCCTTGTCATGCATGCACACAGTAAGGGTTCTTTTACTTTCCAAATCCTCCACAGGCATTTGTCATTGTTAGTTAAACTGGTCGTAATATTTGATCTAATAAGAATCCTCGCCCAACCCCCCCAACAACAGTCCCATTAAAAACAAAAAAAAAAAAAAAAAAAAAACAGCATTTATGGCTTCCTTTAAATCTGACCTCTAACTGTATTGACTGAAATCCTTACCCACCAACAACTACTTGTAATTGTGTAACTTGTCGTTTCCTTACCTGCACATTATAGCCAAACCTGCACAGTAATATTAGTTACTTGTTAGAGAGTGTAAAGCTAACTAACTAACTAACGCCTTGCTGAAGTGTGGTGGATTGAATGGTCATGTGGAGGGGCTAAAGCCTATGTAATACTTCCTCTTCTTACTTCTGGGTATTTCATCACAGAGTCTAACCTTTGCCAGTTTTATTAGTTACATCAGCGTCTATAAGACAACATGCATCTCTTGAGAGGAAGTGCAAAGAAACACACTGACTTTTTTTTTTTTTTTTTAAATAAACTATCATAAAGTGAAACTGTGTCTATGAGGTTTTTAAAGGGCACGTAGTCAACAATACGATTCTTAATAACAATCAACAACTAATTTGGGAAATTTGTTATATTTTCCTCTACCAGCTGAAAGCTACTGTTAGGTTTTCTCACCTTTAGATAGAGCCAGAGTGGGTTATTCTGCCGTGCATAGGGCATGGCGCTGAGCATAATTGCATCATACAGTAAAGGCAATGTTTTAAGTTATCTTAAGGAAA